ATTATATTTTAATCACATGAACGGGCGCTCTTATTTGTAATAAGTAATCTACACTAGCCTATTAACGTATGCCTTTATCTTTATTATACTCGTTGTAAAGCAAATTGTATCAACACAATTATGGTGAAACCGATTAGGTTACAGGAGTTTGAGCATATGTTAACGTGAGATAATCTTCCTCTTATCTTCACTAACGGCCTAAGAATCTTGCGTAGGATGGAAAATGCCAGGCAAGTATTATTAAGTTTGAATAACGCCCACTGCGTGCCGTCGGGTGAGCTAGAATTTGAGGAACGTATTTTTCCTTGCTTATTACAAGTAAATAGGGCTGGATAGCACTTTTGTCTACCTTATTCAAAATGGCACATTATTAATTACTTTCAACTAATGGATGCTCGCAATTCTGCGCGCCGCGTTTTAGTTTTAAGTAAGAGTACGTGGATTATTCTAGAATACGTTAAGGTAAATACGTTCTCTATAACCTTCTTAATGATTCTCTTTGTTAGTAGAGGGCTTCTTTCGGGCCTATAGATGGATAACGTGTTAAGTGTAATCTGACGTGAATTTTCTAATATGAAAAGCCCAAATAGGGTAGACGGCATATCTTAATTAGAAGTATCTGTACAAGTATCTGGAACAGAAAACCTAAAAAAATTTTCCGTTTAAAACTCAAAATGTATTAAGTTAAGCTTATTAAAAAATATTTTAATACAGTCCGACGTCTCACATGCTTTGCAGCAGCTACTCGGAGAAACTGCTTCACAACATGATGATTAGATGAGTTAACTAATATATATCGCGTTTTAAACAGTTACGTGTTTTAATTAAACTTGAAGTACTCACGTAAACTACAAACAAAATATATATCACGTTTTAAACAGTTAAGTGTTTTATTTAAACGTGAACTACTCACGTAAACTACAAAAAATTGTGAAACATTTTTTATTGAAATTCGTTTTGCCGTTATCGTGACTTTTAACAGCCGATCAAGTTTTTATTTGTCTGAAGAATCGTGTATCGTCTTCTCCCTCATTAGAGCTGAACACAAAAGCCTCTTCAATAACGTTTCGTTCGCGTAATTCCTTGTGGTATTGTCATGTTTCCAAGGAAACCGGCTTTACAACCATGCTACGCCAAATATTTGATGTTCATAAATTTTGCCGCTGAACAATATGAGACCGAAGTATTGTGTTTCATTTGGAGAATGTTAAAAGAGTTTGTACTTACAAGTATATTAAGACGTTTTTATACCATAAAAAATAATAGTGTTCTTTTTTTATGGTTTTTTGTCTGATTAATTTAAAGGCATAAAAACCTAGAAATAAAATCATTATTTAAATACTGTCTGTAGTTAACACGAGAGAACACATTTAAAAAAACACTTTAACGGTTTAAAACTCGAGATATATTAGTTAAACTTATTATTATAGGTCTCCCCGTGACCACGGCTGCTGCAAAGCATCCGAAACGTCTGGCAATCGTTACAGTTTAAATCGTTAAAGTGTTTTATATAAAAACATATATATTTTCGCATTTCAAATACATGCAACATAATTATAAAAGGATTAAATATACAATAGCGCATGGCACATCTGTCGTGGGTCCGATTCTCTCGTGTGTCTTTAGTTTTGAATTTTTAACTCATATATATTAGTTTTTTTGACTAAGGAAAACAGTTAACTTATAGTTGAGACTTTATCGCATTTAGAGTTTAAAATAGAAAATGTTTAAAGTGACACCTTTAATGTGGAGATGTAAATCATCTATGTTACGTAACGCGTTATTGTACCAGCCTGACTTCTAAATTGACTACCATATAGAGTAATTGGCGTTCTTTTAAGCCATAAATTTTCGCGTCTCGATTCACCTAAATCGTTATTAGGGCAAAATTATCATTATTAGATTTATGATAAAGGTGCGTTCCACAGACATGATATCATCCTATATTGATAGGTTTTTGACCTAACCCCTCGCTCAGGGTTCACCACAATCCGTCTAGGGCACTGACATTCCCGTATCGTGTCATAGTACATTCCATTCATATAATAAGCCTGTGATTTGCCCGTTGAAAATTCAATAAACATTCGCAATTAATCAAAGTTTTATGAAGAAATTATAGTATTCGTGATATTAAAAATATTCTACTGTTTTCTGGCTTAGATACGTGTACTGAGAAGGTATGTTTATTGTTTATTTTGAATGATGGAGCAGAACAGACAAGCATCGGATTCACTCGACGGTAGGGGAAATACCCCAGCCATATATCATCTAAACAAGATGTGCTGTCGGCCTACTTTGGCTTTGGTTAATTAGATAACCTGGTCTTAGACAAGATTTGAGTTCTTTTATTTCTCAAGTATAAGTCGGACCGAACGGCGTTAATTGTTTAAGCCCGCTACTCCCTACTGGAGAGGCGTGGTGGGTGCAAGCTCTTAAAACACTCCCATAAGAGAGGAGACTGTACCATTGCGACATTTATAGGTTAAAAGGTGTTAAAAAGCGGCTCTGGTGGGTGCGACTTTATCAGTTCGAATCGAGGGGTGGGAGGAATTTTCCATAGACCTCCACATAATTCGAAGACCTGGCCTGACGTGGGTGGCATTTTGCATTCATAGCGTAAAAATATACATTAATAACTAATAATTCTATGTATTGTCTGTAGACGTCAAATCGTACTTATTACATGGAACACGTTTAACTGTTTAAAACGCGAATCCTGCCCATTGCTGTAGAAGAGCATCTGAATCGTTTTGTAATTTAAAAGAAATCAATTAATATATTTCTCTTTATTAACCGTTTAAATTTGCTTACTATTTTGATAATTACAAATTTTAACACATAGAACAGTAGCAGCCGTGGTCACGGAGGGGCTCTTGACGTGTTTGTAACGTTTTTCTTTTATTATCTTTTCAAGTATATCGCGTTATTCTTTGTTTACATGAAAACTTTATAAAATTAAGTTAAAATATATGCGTACTTCTTTTTATTTTGCAACATCACGATACTTACCGAAGTAACATAATACTTTTAACATAAATGATTGTGCCTTTATAATTGAAAGCTAAAAGTTTAAATAGAGGTCGGCCTTGTGACCTTGTTTTCCTTTACCGTTAAAATATAACGATAACAGTAAAGTAGCACTTCATTCAACATTTTATATTCAGCCAAGTACACCCCTCTCGCCGCTTAGTTTTTCCGAAGTATTAGATTATTCAGACGCTCTACTAAGGTTACATACCATTTTACCATGTACGTATATATGTTTTATAAATTTAAAATGATCCCCTATTTTTACTATGAATATATTGATAGGTCTTTATTTAATTTATTTCATCTATCCTCTAAAACAATCTAGCGACTAACTACACAGTACGTTAGTGTTTGAGCTCTGAATTGTATCCTGGATCTAGATCACATTCTAGATTCACATTAGTACTTACTAATCATTGAGCTATCGAGGAGGTGAATCCTTGCTATACAAGATTTACCGTGACTTTTTTTCATACTGTCGGTAGTTTACGCGAGTAGTTCACATTAAATTAACCACTTTAACGGTTGAAAACGCGATATAATATATTTGTTAAACATACACGTCACGGGGAGAGTTCCCCTTTCGTTTTCACTGCTAAACCGTTAGTTTTGAAAATGATGGAATTTAACAAAATAATATTTTTTATCCAAATTTTATTTTATTAAATAAAACACTAGAAGTTTTTGATAATAGAAATATATTAGGTACAAATTAAATTACATTTTTTATTGCTTCAATAGCTTTAACTGCAATGAAACACTTTGTCGCCGTTTTCCAGAAACGCGTAGGAATACTGTAAACTGTTTGACATTGCATGACAAAGGCGTTTTTCAAGCGGTACCAGCACGTTCGAAAATCGTTTCAGCGCCCTTTGATATAATCGAACCTTCGAGGCCTAAACGCGCTTTGTCAGTGTTTTCATTTCGTTTTTAGTGAGGTATCTCTATACGAAATTCGTAATTTTATGAAATTTTTATTTAGACTCATTGGTCTAATGGTCATTGCTAAAAATCTTGACCCCATCCATTTAACTAATCTGAAACTTATTGGACTTCGTCTAAAAATCTTTGAATGTGTGGTTAAAATATCGCTTACGTATCGGGTTTCAGTTAGTAAAACTTTGTATATTCAAAAGCTAAAATGGGTCGACAGCACATCTTTATTTATGCATAGAGTTCACATGCCATCAAGTGCAACCCATGCTTGAGTGTCCATACAAAATAGTTGTTAGTTAATGGAGTATTAGACTTGCGCGTCTATTAGACAAATTAATTTAATCGAAGGTTAATTCTAATGTATATTTTTGAAATGTATGAAAAACACTTCTAATGTCAACAACCGTTAGCTGATCACCTGCTACCTGCGGTCTGGAACCACGACCGCTGGCGCAACCTTCGTAATTCACTTCATCGCACGATTTAATTGCGCATTCATGCTTCATGCAGGAAATCACTGAAACACCAGACCGCAGCCGGTGACATTTCAAAACTTTTCAATGTTAAAATTAAATTGTTATTATAATTTAAGCTGTTTTTTACTGTACTAAAAAGTATTTAGTAGTTATTTCATTTGTACCAACTGTGTACACATACACTCAGATACGAGTTGATACAATTTAGTTAATTTACAGATCATGATACACAATACGTTAATTACATTGCGGCTCCTAGTTGACATTAATGAATCACGTAGTGTTCTTCAGAGTTGTAAACATTCTATTGAATAGATTTGCTATTTAACCTCTACATGGCTATTGTGAAACACAATACAGTCCGCGTTACTCTGAGATCGTTTACAATGGCTTCGGTGACCATATCGCGCGAAACTGTACATTCAGATTTTATGCAGTCACTGAACCCGTTTTAAACAATACAAACGGGTCAATAGTACCTCTTCCGCTTGATGCCTTAATAAAATGTATGAATAAGTTTACACAACAAATTTTATATCATTTTTTAATTTGTTTCAGGAATCGCCACAAACACAAAAAGCCGCCGATCCACAGAAGTACCCATCTCCAAGACCGAGTCTTCCAAATCTTCGGTTAGAAAGAATTTAATAGCCGGGGTTCAAACATTAACAAATAAATTGCCGTGTGCCACTACCCCTTTAAAAAGTCCAGAAAGAAGACGTAGTTCTGAAAGTGGAAATAAGCCTAGCTTTATACCGCTTTCTAAAACCAATCGTAAATCGCCAAGTAAGAATAGTAACGAACCAGTAGCGAAAATCGAAAATGTCCAAACTAAATCCAGAAACGACCGATTGAAAATTAAATCCCTTCGAAAGAGTCCTGAAAAAGCAAAAAGTGATTCTGAAACAAATCGTAACGATAAAACGCATCGAGCTCAAAGGAGTTATGAAAGTTCTAGTGAAAATAATCATAATTCGAAGAAAAGACTGACTAGATTAGGTAATCGAGTGATACAATACGTGTGATAAATTTAATAATAATTCGCCTATTGATTGTAAAGTTAATAATTGTTTACAAGGTAAATCTACCGACGGCAAAAATATGTCTACTCTCCATGAAACTGTGAGACCACATACAGGTTCGAGACTTTCGCAAGAAATGGATAATCTAGCTGCATTGACTAAACAAACTTTAGATAGAGTGAATAAATTGTCAAATAACTTAAAAAGTAATAAATTAAATGAACCAAACTCAGATAATTTAGCTTCAAAGGTGGAAACGCAAAGGGATAACAATAATCATGCCTATAATTTTGGCCTTTTACAAGAAAAACCAATTGCAAATAGAGGCGTCACTGAAAGATTACAGGATATAGACGCCGCCGCTGAGAGACTTATCGATTTTGAGAAGCAAAGTGCAATGTTTTCTGATCTCAGCAACGATTCGTCTAGTCAGCATCGCCGCTTAGATAATTTATCGTCGTCTCATCACACACCTGTATCAATATTAAAACGGAAGTCTATTCACGAAGATACCACGACTACTAGTACTCCTAATAATTCTATTGCTTCACCTCCTGTCACTTTCTCACCTAGCGTTGTAGAGCCACGTAGTTGTCGATCTGAAAGTAGACAACGACAGGGGATCCTTAAAAAACGTCGCAGTTTAGACGAGTCTCAAGTTGCACGACGTCGCTCTTGTAGCCCTGAAGTGTCGTTTGCTGATGATGGGTCGTCTGATACATGTAAGCCAATTTTAAAGAATCGGCGTTCTTCTCTCGAGGATGTTGTACGTAACCGGTCGCCGGATGGCCAGATCCATGGAATTTTAAAACGGAAAATGAGTAGAGAAGACGAGCATGTCAACGATGACGTTTCGCACGGGTCTCCAGAACCTCACGGAATTTTAAAAAGAAAGTCGAATTCAAGTTCTAGTAGTAGCACTACTTCCTCTCACGTTTCGATCGCTCAAGCCGTGCTGCTGGCAGCCGCTGGCGGTGCTGAACTCGTCGAACGCGAAGAAGATAAAGATGCTGTACGTCCTATACTAAAGAAGAAAAGTTTTTCCGAAGAGAGGCCTTCTATCGATGTATTACCTCTAGACACTCCGAAGCCGATTTTGAAGAAGAAATCCATAGAACACGACGATCACGATTTCGAACTTCCAAAGAAGCCGATTTTGAAGTCTTATAAGAAACTGTCTGGCGACGAAGGGCACACTTCCAGTTTCGACTTGAGCGAAGACGATAGGAGCTCACGAAGGCCATCACTTCTCAGATCTCGTACGTCCGATCAGTCAGGCTCGGAGTGTGAAGCGGCTGTTAGGCCAATATTGAAGCAGAGAGGTTCGAGTCTCACTAGGGAGCGCAGCCAATCCCCGCGCCCACGGCTGTCGTTCTGCGCTGACAACGACGCCAATACTAGTGCGACTAATTTCAGTAGCGAATCGAACGACTTGCTAGCGGCTGGACCGCGTCGAGTTTTGAATCTCTCGTCTTCACCGGACGAAAGTTATCCTAGTGCGGTTATACGTAGACGAAACTTAAGACCCAAAGCGAATCCCCGGTCTATGAGCCTCGTGAGTGATGTGAACGAAGAATTACTGTCCATTTTAAATAATCGACGACGTCAAGTTGATACAAGCGTTGAGAACGATCCTTCGGGCTTATGGGACAGTAACGAAACTCCAAACCGAAATAACCCAAAACAATTTCCTTCTATTGCTTCAAGGATTAAAGATATGGAACAGGCTCTTTCTAAGGACAATTTTCTAAGAGACCGCTCTACTTCCAAAGTGAAGAATAGGGACAATGACCGCTACAAGACCCAACCGGTGACCATCGATGAGATGCGATCGATAACATCCAGGTTAGTTAATCATACATTTTTGTTAATAACTTAACTTATAGAATGTAATGTTTCAAGCCCACTTGCATCAAAAAATGGCAATAGACGACGATCGAAACGATATCTTTTGTGCAAAGGTGATTGTTCGTTTTACCGGTCGTTTATTGTGAAGTAAATTTTGGCACTCCGCCATTATTTTGTTGAGTGAGCGGCGTGGGCCGGTCTAAATGTTATAGCAACTTCTAATGCTCTGTACCGTTTACTCATTTGTTTTGCATGGCCCCTTTTGTACTTCCCTTTTAGCACGCGTGCACTGTATGCATTTAATCATCGCTTCATATTTTTGGTCAGAAAAATATCGACTAATGTTTAGTTAGCATGAAGATTGTATTTTCATGGAATGAGTACATTTTTAAATACAGTAACTAAATGATATATTTTGTTACAATCGAACAAACATAGTTAAGTAACACAAAAACAAACTTTACTTTACTAGGCGTATATGAACTTAAAAACAAGAATGGATCTAATTAAATTTTAATGAATTAAAGCCAAAACTCCAGCACCAAAATTCTCTGGGCTAAAAAATAAAAACAAAACCATTACCGTCAAATAGTAAAACAGTTATAGATATTTTTTTATCGTTTTACAAACTAAACATAATATACAAGCGTTTACGGGAAATGATGCACCAAAAAAAAATGTAATAAATAAGTCTCCCCGTGACCACGCTGCTGCAAAGCATCTTTTGAATGCTTTGCAGCAGCAGCCGCAGCAGCCGTCGGGCCGTAGTTATAAATAATTTTCAAATAAGTTTAACTAAAATAATATCGCGTTATAAACCGTTAAAGGGCTTTATTTAAATGTGTCCTTCTGGCGTAAACTACAGACAGTATTGACATGTAATAAGTCTCATATTTCATGAAATGTTTACATTTATATTAAATATGTATAATAAAATAATATCCTTATTCAAAATTAAACATAACGTTTAATGTTATGGGTCAGTGCAAATTGCGCTATAAAATGTATGTAAAGCTTAACATACTGTTAGAGTATCTAATGGTAAAAACGAATTCAAAAGTGTGTCGTGATAATTTCATGCAGTTAATACGTCTGACATCATCAGCGTTGGAGCAATGATGGGTTTACTGAATCATTTTCTGTTCCACAATCAAGTGAAGTAATGCTGCATAATATTTAACATTGTTTTATTTGTTTGAAACTCAGCGATTGCTTTTTTAAAGTTTAAAATGGATGGCTTCGGACTGAAGTTTTACTTCGATGTGTGAGTGAATTAAAGAAAATACTATATAATTTAGTTAGTCGCATTTATTTTTGTTTATACAAGAAAAGTCAAGAGTTACAAACGCTACACATATACGCCCTTGATTGCTTGTTTGTGAAAAAGTGTATTATAAATTAGAAATACATACATAATTAGAAATTTAACCTTTTTTGTTTACTTTTTGGTGCATCTGACTGTCACAAAATTAAGTGTTCTATTACAGTACATGTCTTATTAAATCCCATTTCTAATTAACTACACTTTGTCTCTGGTACGTGAAACGACAAGTAGTTGATGACGGAAATACGCGTTTCAGCAGTTACTGGGTCAACCACTATTTCTGGATCTGTTGTGCTTTTACACGCAACTAATATTTTATGGCAAGAACATCTGATCTATTTGATGGTCCATTTAATCTTATGTTTGACTAAGTAACAATACGATATTAGCAATCTTTTTATTTTTAATAATTTTGACCTTTAAGTATTTAGGGGTAATGTTATCCCTACACGTCAGTAGCCATCTGTTTTCATTTTACATCATTCAGTTTAATAAATGGATTGTCGACGCGACATAGACATTTATATTTGGGTAATGCTTCCACTAATGTCAATCTTCTTCAAGTCAATAGGGCGTCGTCAATCCAGATAACTAGTGCTATAATTCATCGAAATTTATGAACATGAACTAACTCTATCACCGTCTCTTTCTAACGAACGGCTGTGTTATACATTAATACATTTCTTTTCTCATTTCACAGTTTGGAGCCGGGCCAACAGAGTTTCCAAGCGTTCGGCTCCGCGGCCTGTAGTTTTCCGGCCAGTTCCGTCGAGTCCGGTGCTGCTTCCTTAGAGAGGGGGCCCAACGTGGGGGAAGCCGAACGGGATCCATATAAGGCGATAAAATCTCCCCCCTACAATAACTCTTTCAACTCGAAATTTCCACCCATCAATGACTCGGAAACACCGAGTCCCAGGAACGACAGTTTTGGAGAAGCGTTGTTTTTAGATTTCGAGAAAATCGCGGAGGGTGTTCAAGGCAAACAGTCTACGCTGGATGAAATCGAACAGGAGGTCAACAAAGTTCGCGTGGCGTTGGATGAAGACAGCCGGGCCTTGGAGGAAGATGAGAGGAACCAGGGGGAGGCTGACAACTGGAGTTTAAACGTGTCTTGTGATAGTGGTGTGTACAACCGTGCTTCGTCGAGGGATTCGGGACCTCATTCCGGTTAGTATCATCCGTCGTGTCTTAACGAATTCTAATGGAAACTGAACGGTGACTTATTTAGCACACCGAAATGTTACAGTTACCGTAATAAACATGTGGTAGCGATCAGAGCGGTCAGCTTGCATTTGCCTCGTGTTTGTTTATGTTATGTTTCGTATATTTAGACTTTGTATGCGTCGCAATCATATTAGGACAGTTTTGAAAATAAACTTCGCTTAGCCTTGCTAAGCGCTGGCCCTTTATTTTGGGTCAATGTTGTGTGTTCATTGTCAACTTCAGTTTTAGTGCTGGGCTGATAGATAATCTATATATTGTTTATACCGTAATAAAGAAAAATAATTCACGTGACTGTATGTTTAGAAAAGTCAAAAATGTTTGTGGAAGTGAGTGACAACGATTTCGTTATCTCTTTTTCCGTCTGTGTTATTTAAGAGAAGTAGGGAATCATACAAATATTATCACAATGATTACAAATGCATTGGTTGCCCCCACGGGCACCCGATTTAAAAATAATTAAAATAAAACACTATTAACGGTTTAAACGCGAAATGGCTCCCCATGACCACAACGGATGCAAAGCATCCGAAACATCGGTACCAAGTTTAAATAATTTGTAAATAAGTCTAACTAATAGATTTCGCATTTAAGACCGTTAAAAGTGTTTTATGTAAAGTAATCACATGTATACTGCAGACAGTATCTAAAAATATTTTCTTTTCTAAAAGCTATCTCGTAAATATCTAGTATGAAATATATTCTGGTGTAGACCTATTTTTACTTATCTTAAGATATTATAGACATACATTACATTGCAAATATATGATTTTCAGGCGAGGAATTAGGCTTGATCGAAAGTCAAGAGATAAGCGATAACCACGCAGCCAACAGCAGCCAGGATTGGTCATCCTCTTCCATAGAGAACGGGCTAATCAACATGAATCGCGAGAGGAAGTCTACGGAGAACGAAGCCTTGCGGAGCCCTGATGAAGCGAGGAGCGATGATGAAAACGAAAACCAGTCGGGCTTCGCCTTGGGACTCGTTAAGAGTAACAGTGTGGTGGCGCGCGCCAGTATGTGGCAGCAATTGCAGCAGAAGGCCAAAGGTATTAGTCACCGTTTATTTAGTCCTCGAACAAACGAAACTGCTTTGTGTAAGTAAGGATGATAATTTTGACATGTCTTACTTATCTTTAGTAAGTTTACTCTGTGATCACACTTTATTTACTATTTTGACGTACACTAAAATAAAAAATATTTTTTTATATGTTGGAATTTCCTACTTAAAGCTGTTAAATTTATCAGCCAGTCGGATCTTTCTGAGTTTTCTACATACTATTTGTAAATAGGTACATACATTAATTGACGCAAATGTCGTTCTGGCTTTTACCTACATCGTGTGTTATATAAATGTTGTATTTTGGTTGTTAAGCTTTAAAATCCAGCTTTCGGTTGGGAATGGCGTTTGACACATTTCTGTGTCCGTTTCACAAGTAGTTGATCAATCATTACACATACATACTTACATTACTTCGGAATTTGATCCGGCGTTTAATTACACTCCACACCATACTAGACATTAAAAGATTAAAAAAAGACAAAAAAAAAAACAAAACATAACAAAAAACTAATCAAGCATTATATTAATTGCAGGAACACCAAAACCACTCTTACGGCACAGCCGATCAAAGTTAAAAGACGATGTGCCAGTAATGGAGCGCTTCAAGGCACAGAGTATCGACTTGCAATCACCACCGCTGTCGGACTCGCCTCAAGATAACAGTTCTCTAGCGCAGGCAAAAACCACCGCAAACGTTCTAGATAGAGACGAAGACGGTAAGAACATATATTGGTACTTCTTAATACCATTCATTGCTATTCTAAGTTGTTGAGGACAGTATATGTTTGAAAAGGCAGTTGCTATATGTTTGTTAATGTTAGATTGTAAACCATCTAGCTAGTTCATAAAGTGGGACAAATTGTAAAGGCCGCACTTTTGGTTCATGCGTATTTTTTTAGCTACACCATTCGTTGCTACGTGTTCTGCGCGCTGATTAGATGAGATTTTTGCATTAAAACCGTTTTAATCTTTTAGATTGTAATATTTTTGGATTTTTGTTAAATTGAGAACAGACCGTGCATGCCAAATTATAAGAGGACTATCTAATGTAAACTCAATAGATATTTAAAAATGTATTTGCCTAAAAATATATGTATTTTTTTGTTCAAATGTTAAAACACATACATATTATTTTCAGTTACGTTACGGCATGTACATTGCATTTTGTTCCGAAAAAAGGCTTCCCGTCTTTGATTGTCCGCTTGTTTCTTTTTTGCATGTCCTCAACTATGTGTATGTACCGGGTATCACTGCACTGTTATGTATATACGCACATTCACCGGTGGCAGCTACATTAGAAGACGACGATCCGGCAAAAATGTCGCTAAGGGAGAAAATGGCGATGTTCAATTCCAAACTTACGCACAAACCTCCCTTAGCCGGCCTAAGGACTAAGGAAGAGAGGGTGCCCCGGGCATCCAGACTGCGCACCATGCCTGTCTTGGCCAGTCAGGTCCAAGAAGCGATGGAGCAAAACGAAAGGCTAACTAAATCGCTAACCCACGAAGACGTCCCGAGGAACCCCGATTTCCAATTGAAGATGGAGTTGTTCCGTTCGGCGAGCGCTAAAAACACGTCTTTAGAATATCTGATGAAGCAAAACTCGAAGTTTAGAAGTTTAGGTCTGACTTTGTCCATTTTGAGTTTGGTTTTCTCGATATACGCTTGTCGTTGCGCTTTCTGGGTTCACTAATTGCGTTAAGGACGATTCGCACAAAGGGAAATGCTATCTTAGAAGGCCATAGAGCGACCTACAGTAATCAACAATGTAGTATAGAAAATATAACTGTTTGAAACTACAATTCAATGCAAATTCAAATATTATATGGATATACTCAGTGTTATTGTTTTACTGTTTTTTTCTGTTATTTCATTTTGTCTGTAGTTTACGCGAGTAGTACACATTTAAATAAATACTTAAACGATTAATAAGCGATATATATTAGTTAAACTTTTTTGGAGGTTACTTTAACTACGGCCGACGTTTCAGATGCTTTGTAGCAGCCGTGGTCACGGGGAGACTACTTACGGTTGCTGCAAAGCATCCAAAACGTCAGGTCACAGTTAAAACAATCTCCAAATAAGTTTAACTAATATATATCGCGTTTTAAACCTTTCAAGTGTTCGATTTAAATTTTAAATGTTTATAATTGTTAAATAATATTTTATCGCAATTTGTTGACAAGGTTTTCCCACTGAGGCTTAGCACTTCCCTTTGTTATGTGGATATAATTACTACTAAAATATAGTACACAGAAGCTTTAATGTTGAAAGCTGATGTACCTACTAGTTTTTCGATTGTTAGCCGATAGAGACGAAAACTCGACTAAGTAGATGGATCAGTATGTTCGTTTGGCATGAGCACGTTGACTAACAAACTTTTGATCTTCTTTTAGATTCAACTAACCCATTGCTACAGACTATCGCCAACAATGAGATTCGCTTTTGGGTGTATCTAGATGTTCCACTTCTATTGTAAATTAGGAATTCGAATTTTTTACTTTATAATAATTGAATTATATATTGATATGTTCCATCCTGGTCCATACAAACAGATGCTGTATCAAATCTACAGATATATCGTATTCAATGAAGAAACACTGGACTGCTAACACAACGCATGTATAGACTTGATATCTGCGATCAAGGCTAAGAAAACTAACGTATGCTTTCTTAACCACTCAATAATCGATTGAGTAATATTTATTTTAAGTCAAGACCGTTAGTCATAACTAGTTTAATACCGTTTGCCTATACTAACTGGAAATACTATTGTAGATATAGTCTTTGATATGCATTTAACTGTTGGATAAGGAAGTCTCCTTATTCTTCAAAAGGATTTGGTGTGTTAACTTATTCTTCCAAAATGAATTTCGATATTTTCTTAATGATTTAATTTTATATTGATCGTTTTAATCTTTTTGTTGTAAATGGTACTTAATCATATGTGTTATTTTTATAGATGTCGACGACGACTCGCCATCGGCGCGTGCGCAGCGAATGATAACACCTGAAGTTAGAGGTATCTTAAAGTCTGGATGCACTGTGGTACCTGTCAAACCCAATACACTGGCGAAAGGTGAAAGTTCTGAGGTAAAGATGTATAGGTTTCTATTGTTTACGCAATTATTAGACACAAAAACCCCTTTTAATGGTCTAAAACACGAATCGTTACATTTATTAACTTTCTCTTTGAAGTTTTTTATGCTTTACAGCAGCCGCGGTGACGCTGTATTATTTATAATAATATTATTTACAAGCTTTGTAAATCTGATTAGTTTCTATCAATGTATTAAAGTCATGACCACCTCTGTAGCCAAATGGCTAAACATGCGAGTTTAAGCCCGAAAGGACGGATTCAAATCCGAGGAACGACGATTGTTTCGGTCGAGAAGGGTACAGAGGTCTCATCAACTACTTGTCCATATAATAACCAATCAGTGGAACGGACACAAATATGTGTTCGTCCCATGCCCCATGGGATGACTAATCTCAGGCCAATTTACTTAATTTGCATCTATATAGAACAAATATGAAAATTTGTGTTAACACTTAATATGTCTTAATATGCATGGACCTAATTTCTCATACTTTTTTTACATCTTAACAGTTATGCAATAAGTTTATTTTGATTGTTGAAAAATACCATATCAATACTTAAACAAAAGTTGTTATTAAATAAAACGCTCATATGACCAGGTAATGTTAACGAAATAATTTATTTTTATAGGGTCTGAAAGACGAAGGAATAGATAGTTCGTCAGACGATGAATCGTCCGCCTCCACCGTCTCGTCTTCAGAGAAAAGCTGCTCATCATCAGACAGCTCAGAAGACATACCCGGGCCGAAATTCAAGCGCTTCCAGAGAAAAAGCAACAAGCTAAGATCCTCCAGAACCGAATCAGATCTTACAAATTATCAAGATCAGAGGAAAATTCAATTACCAGGAGCTAATGAATTTAAGGAGCGTTTAACGCAAGCCAAAAATGCCAATGTCAAAATTCCGTTATTAGGGAAACTGGGGAGAAAGCCTTCGGAAGTAAAACCAGAGGAAAATATAAAGGCATCCGTCAAGAAGCCAAGCGAACCTTTACAGTTAGGAAAATTAAGGAGGCCGATGGAAAAAACAGCTTCCATCGATGAAAAGCCGCCGGTAATTATTAAAATATAATATCTCTAAGTTTTTAATTCAATCAACTCAATGCTTTTTAAAGTTAACCCGAGTAGGACACATAAAAACGCGAAATGCATTAGTTTCAGGTTTAATTTATTTTGACTACAGCCCGACATTTCGGATGCTTTTCAACCTGTGGTCACGGGGAGATTAAAGATGAATGGTGTCTCTAATGTTAAAGTAAAAATTGCTACGCTAGCGCCATCTGTTCCCACGTAGTTGGTGTTTGGTTACAGCGGCCGAGTTATAACTCGGCCGCTGTAACCAAACATACGAATGTCGATTTAATTGCATAAATCATAAACAACATTTCGCGTTTTTAATCGTTAAAAATGAATTTAATGTTATAATACTTATAACTTAATAATACTTAATTTATTGGCATCTGTGTCTCGATCACAACACTGTCATGTTGTTCTGGGGTTTTTTAAATTTAGGTCACATACAAGTATGTTTGAAAGTAAAAACTCTTTAATTAAGCGATTAAATTTGATCCATTAAAAAACAATTCCGTAGTAAATTATTATTTTTCAGGTCCTAAAAATAACCGCGCTCAACCAAGACGCGAAGAATAAGTTTTTCGGCTTGGAGGCCGAGACTAAAGAGAGAAATGTCGACGAATTGGCGGCGAAAGTCAGGAAATACATTGCACCGGTAAATATTGTTACTTACTATATTATATTTATAAGACTTATTTGACTAGGCCTAGCATTCGTTTTGGCTTACAATATAAAAAGCTTTTTATCACCTTTTTATTAATACATAAATCGCACTAATCTATAACAATCTCTATCATTGAGAAATATTCCATAAATACAAACGTATTACAAAAATTATTCTTTATTATTATATATATAAAACACTTTTAAATTTTATTAACACTAATGGTTTAAAAGCGATATATTAGTACTAACTACTAATATATACAATTTAAACCATTAAATTGTTTTATTTAAATGTGTACTATTCGCGTAAACTATAGACACTTTTAAATGTTTAAAATGTAAAAACTTGTTAGGCAACTTATTTCATAACAAACTACACAGGGTGGATCACAAAAAAATATTTAACATAAATAATTTTTATGTATGTCGTTTGAGCATCTAAAGTGCTTTTAAATTAATATAATAAATTCTTGAGACACAACGATTCGATACAGATGAATCTAGATATTACGCCCAAGTTACTTATCAATAGGCCACGAGTTATATAGCTCACATCAGTTGTATTATTTGGTTTCCATTTTGTGTATCAGGTAAGCAAGTCTGTATCGACGCACGCTATGGAAGGTGCATCTGGCAGCGATGGTGAAAGCAGTGGTGGCAGAGAAGTTAGGCAGATCAACACTCGTTCGAGGCACAGGTATGTTGATAATAATTTTAAATTAAGTGTGCATTATAGTATATCAGATAAAAACGTAAACACACGTATTTGTTTATAACCGAAGATTCAACTCATTTACGTATAAATACTGTCTGTAGTTTAGGCTAGTAGTACACATTTAAATGAAACTCGGTTTCAAGGACAAGGCGTAGACAAGAAGTAGTTAAAATAAGTTTAACTAATACATATCGCGTTTTAAACCGTTAAAGAGTTTTAATGAAATCATTTACGGTTAAGGAATTGTGTCTTTGTTGGAAACCGTTAATGTTAAATGTAATTTATATTTAATTATATATTTTTTTGAAGGTTGTTAAATAAAAAAAAAAAAAAAAAAAAAAAAAAACCCCCCATTTTTTTTTAAAAAAAAAAAAATTTTTTTTTTTTTTTTTTTGGGGGGGGGGGGGGTGTTAAAATTTTTTTAAAAAAAAATTTTTTATGGGGGGGGGTTAAAAAAAAAAAAAAAAAAAAAAAAAAAAAAAAGGGGGGGGGGGGGGGGGGGGGGGGGGGGGCGGCCCCCCCCCCTTTTTGCAGCCCCCCCGGAATTTTCCCCCAAAGCCCCCCGAAATCCTTTTGGGTTTTTTTCAAACCCATAAATTGGGGAAGCTACACGCTTGCGGATGATGGCGTGGAAACCATCTGTACGTAAATGTAACCCGATTGTTTGCGCCTTGGCACGTTCTTGTAAATTTTCCTAACTCATCTACTATGATACTAATATGAAATAATTGCAATAATTTCCAAACGCGCTGTTGACTAATCTTCAAAATGTTGAGAAATGGTTATAAACTTAATTACACCGGATTGCAATCAATCACAAATAGAACAAGGCTATGTTACCTCATTGTCGAAGAAACTATGACATAATGAGAATCTTTTTCTCTCGTCGATTACCCGATTATACAGATTTCAAATTGCTCGTATCTGAATTTGAAATTAGTATTCTATTGTTTTGGTTTTCTAAAACTTTATTTATCTATTTATTCATACTTTTAACACAACACACGCACACAATTACAATGAATTAAAATATATATCTATAAAGTATAGAGTGTAACGGACGGCCTTATCGCTATTAACAGATCTCTTCCAGGCCACCCTTCTTAGGAAAATAATGTAACTTTATATAAAGTCTGGTTAGTATTTTAAGGACAGCTAAAACTATGGCTGAAAATGTATACATTTTAGGAGGTAGTTTACAACCAGTGGACACACATTTTTTATCCTGTTTGTTCTTTAGTAGTGCTACGTGACATACAACCTCAAAGAGTGTTATTCCCTTTATACCTAAACCGAATATGACATTATTTAATCGTAAATTACAGATAAACTTAATTTTGTATTTGGTCAAGTATGGTAAAGTTATATGATCATCCGAAACGTGGAGTTGTAGTCTGGATAAATTAAAATCAATTAACTGGTTTCCCAAGTTGAAGTATTTAATGAAAGGTCTTTGAAAGTGTTGCATTAATTTCTATAACTTCCACTTTCCTAACATACTCGTGTACTCAGTAGAAAAATGTACGAAATCATAAATTATCTATCAGAATAATTTAACAGTAATAAATGTGTTTTATGAAAAAAAGAAAGTTACCTAACAATTCTTTGGCCTAGCAAAGAACAAATCGTCGTGAAAGCGTTTAATTTCAACAAATTTCACACTTTTTGTCTTTAATCGTTTAACTAGAAGTAAAATGAGAGACCGTTTACCTCGATTTCCCGAGTTTTAAAATAAATTGTCGTTTACTTTGTCTATTATCTATACTAAGTACACACAAATATTGTTGGCTAATTACTATCTGTGCTCGAAACTGTGTCCGCAAGGAATAGTTATTTTAAGCAACATATTATGTATTTATTTTTGCAAACAACCTACTCAGCTTTATAAATTATATTATAGCTGTTACCCACGACATCCGCGTTCGTCCGCTTCCGTCGTTCGTGCGAGTTAATCTTAAAAGATTGACTGTTGCGGACAATTTTGTTAATTATTCAAAGAAAAATCATTCTTTGATCGCAGACCGATGTATTATAGCCTTCCCCTATAAACAATCCAAATGAAACACAAATACATCAACATTTGTTTGTTTGACCGCACAGATCCTGCGATCGGTGCGGTCAAACAAACAAACTCTTCAGCTTCACAACATTAGTATAGATATGTTCATTGATATTTATTTATCGCCCACCGTGACATAATAAAATGGACAGCTAGTACTTTCGATACCCGCTGTTTATTGTTTTACTGCATACGGCCATAAACGTTTCATAAACATAAGTTTACGGTGTCTAGACTCCTTTTTTTTTTTTTTTTTTTTTTTTTTTCTTTTTTTTTAGAAACTTTTCGTATGTTTAATGGTTCCGTAACCAAGGTACAAAACTGGATTGTACAGAGACGTCTTCGGTCTATCCGTCGGTGATTACCTTTCTATCTTGTACAACCGTATTACTAAAACTTAGTCCATCTGTTCGTTTGTCTGTATCTATGAACTGTGATGGATAGATAGATGATACTGTCACAAATGTGTGTAGTGGAGCTTAAGAATGTATTCTTGAGCCTGAAAGTGCCTGATTTTATGAATGATGATACTGAAAGCCACTGAAACTTTATTCGAATGAAACTTGAGCATTTTTATTAATTAGGTAATTTAAAAGAACTTACCATTAATTCTAATTATATCTAGCTTTCCAGGCATGTTTTAGCAAAAATGTAATTAGCAACAAACTATTCTTTTAACCCGTTGTTTATTGCTTAAAAGCTGATTTCGTAAGCGAAACGCTTAGCTTAGCGCTCGCTTGATTGAGATATCGCCTAACAGTTGTCCGCGATTGATAGAGAAAGCTGACAAATCGGCGACGGTGCAACTTTGAAACCATGATTTGCATACAATAGAGTCTACATGAACTTATGTCATAGGAACTGGTTCTGGTTTAAAGTAAAAGTCCAATATCAACATGCAATAAGTAACGCAGAGGTCCACATACGTGCCATTGATTTTTGAGAAAAAATACATATAAACACTATGCATCGTGTGGTTAGGACGGTAAATTAATTACTTTTTTTTTATATACCAGACGACCTTTGAGATTTTTTATATAGATCCTAGACGCTGGTGGACATTCCTAATATCGAATTAAAATCTACTACACTGGCGCCATCTGTTTTTCGTGGTATTTACAAAAATATATATACCCTAGATGGGTTCTCGTCCTTTCTGATGCGCTATTTGAAGTAAAATATCCTTTTCGATTACACCCGGTCCTAATTTTTAAAAAAGGCAGATATTCATACGTCTATGTGATTGTAATGTAATGACATTACTTTCACCAGTTGGACTTATTTGATTTGTGACTTACTGGTAGTTGATTGTACTGTATGGGTATACTTTTTTTCTAGTGGCCGTGCTCGCTTAAGATAAACTTAATGTTTAAAAACTATTATCATGTACTTTAGTTTACACAAGCGAAACTCTATTTTAAACAGTTTAACGGTTTAAAACTTAAAATGTTTTGTAGGTATAATTGCTAACTAGATACTCTACAAAATAAATTAACTCGATACAAAGACTTGCTAGTCGATAATTATTGTGCATAAAGATTTATTAAGTACACATCTTTGGCAAAAGGCTTAACTGTTAAATAAGTAAGTAAGAATAAATAGTTATTAATTAGGTATAAGTGAAGTTCATCGTGGTAAATAAAACCAATTCATTTAAGTGAACGCTTTTATTGATTATTTATAAACACTTAACTAAAAGAAGCACCTTGTTTTGTTAAATGTATGAAATACTTGCAAACTAAATCTATATCTGTTAAGTCTAAAAAGAAATAATGTTGAGTTAGTAAAAAATGTTAATTTATCCGAGTTTTCGTTCAAGTATACAATTATTCAACATTCCGGTTTAAAAACTGACGTTGGTAATTTCGGTCTGGTTTTTATTTTCGAACGAGTTTTTTTACAAGAGCACGCAATTTCACACTTAACGGTCCGAATGCCCTGAAGGTTCTCGACCTCCCGTTATGCATTATTTTTCAATTGTTTTTAAAATATCAAACTAGGTTAGCTGCGATAAGGTTCGTGAAGTAGTTCGTTGGGTCTAATTAAAAATTTACGTGCTGTTGAAACGTTCCGGAATGTATTTCATGTGTAATATTTTTTAATAATGTTTATAAAACAGTAAATTTTGTAAATATATTATTTATTTAAAAAAAATCTTTTACAATTTTAAGAAAACACTAAAGGTTTTCGGATTCTATGCTAATAGCAGGCATGGCAACCGAAAACTCGGTTCGTAGTTAAAATAAATTGTCAAAAGTTACTTATAACACATTTCACGTTTTAAACTGTTAAATGTGTTTTATTTAAGTGTGTACAACTTGCGTAAACTATGGATAAGACTAGTACGATGCAAGAAAATCTATTGAAAGAAATATATGTTATGTGCCATAATTAAAAATAAATTAATAAATTTATCGTAATAGAAATTCGCACAGCTTAGCATTGCGTTGCGGTATTGAGGTCTTGGGGTTGAATCCCGAGGGATACCGAAGTTTGGTTTGACAGCGTACCTAAGTCTTGTCTTTATATTCTATTAATGAAACTATCGCTCCATTTTGGAAAAATAGGATTTGACACTATCTTTTAGCATATTTAACTTCACATTTATGTTATATATGCTATATAGTTATATAATCTTTATGCTCTCGTTAATTTGCATACAATCCATTGCAACCGTATCAATCGGTCGTGCCACAGAATCAGAGTTCCTAAAAACTAGTTTTGTACGCTGCGCACGCGATAGCAATAATTATTATTCGCTGTTACTCAGTCATTACACAATGCATAATGCGAACTCACCGCGTGGCCTACAAACCCAGCTTCACGATTTACTGCGATATCTCACCACTGTCTCATCTATTCATATGCATTCGACGTCATGGTTCGAGATAATTCTATACATGTGTGTATACAATTATGCAAAAATGGTTAAGTTACATTGACTGTGATACAAAATCCGCCTTATTAACAATGTTTGTCCATTTAAATAAAATCAGCCTGCTGGCACGACTGCTGCAAAGCATCCGAAACGTCGGGCCGAAGTTAAAAATCATTTTCTAATAAGTCTAATAATATATCGCGTTTTAAACCCTTAAAGTGTTTTATTTAAATGTGTACTACTCGCGTAAATTATAGACAGTATTTAATGTTTGTCTAATTCAAGGGCTCGGTAGCAATGTATCTCGGGTTCGATTTCCGTCAGGTTAAAGATATTTTTAAATCAAAATTATAATTTCTCTAAAACGAAATATATTAGGCGTCGTTTGAAAAATGTCTGTTAGTAAAGAGGTGGTAGGAATCTCGAAATTCCGTGTCAATCATCTACTATGATGTAAAAACCACGTTTCATGCTTTATGTAAGAACATGTTGGATCAAAAACTTAAAAAAACGATGATGCGATAAAAATAATAATTCCAAAAATGTGTCTAATTATACAAATAAGTAATATCCCCTTTGACTTGGTTAAATCTTGGGTACATTAATTGCAATTAAATTCGTAATAAAAAACGTATAGCTTAGCAAAATATTTTGGTATGTGTAAATAGATACAGAGTTAATATCCGTCTATAAATTACAAAACTGTACTATTTACGTTTCATTTAAAATCGATCAGTTCATTGACCAATGGACAAAAATGTATATAGTCTAGGAGCTAAAATTAATCTTTAATCTGCGTGTTTTCTTTATTTATATTATTATTCGACTAAATGAAGTCAAAACAAAAATAAGTTAACCCGTATCACAACGGTATCGATACTTTTTTACAACAGAATTCCGTTATGATGGCTTGACAACTGATGTTCATCGACTTAGTTTTTGCACTAGGTCATCGATAAGCCTATATTTTCCTTTGTCGTTGCCATTTTATGTTTTTGAATACGTATCATTGAAGTGTATCTGAAATGGCTCGCCGGTCTTTTGGTAGATCTCTATCGGGTAAGTAACGGGTCGCCGGTTTTATCCAACGGGCATGTTTATAATCGAATTAAAAATTTTCTAACACATGTTGGACATCTGGCGAACTGAATATTTAATGCAATATAGCAATAGCAAAATTCCGTCACAGACCACACTTTACGCATTGGAAAACTTAAGTTTAATCGGGTTTGGTATTCAGTCTGGCTTTCCGAATATCCGAAGCAATAATAGGTCTATAGCGCATTTTGTTTACATGTAATATCACTGGTGTGTTTCATGTACTATCAAGTGACGCACTGTCTGTTCTATGTAAATTTAATTTATCAGTCGTAAATGCGACTCTTAGTCTAAATTCAAAAGTTACAGGAAGTATGATCGTCTAAGCCCAGCTCAACCACTAGACGCACGAGGTTGAACAAATGATTTATTACATGGTAAACGAACTACCTATTATTGTTAATACATAAACGCCTAGAAGAGACAAGAGATAAACATATATAGAATTCCATGTGTCTTTAATAAAATGACTTTAAAAGAGAAACAAAATTAACTCGGTCTGTAATTAAACAGCTAACAAGCTATACCTTTTTTTACTATCTTGAAGGTCAGTCATGTTTTGCAGTTTGTCTCAATTCATAAAACCCGTTCGTTGAATTGCTACAGTTGTATAAAAAGTTAATTTATAAATGGGAAACTAGTATACTATTTTAGGTGACGGATAAATTACCAGTAACTGAAACCTTGAAAGCTGCTGAAGGCAGCGTGGCCTAATAAAAAAAAACATTATTTTCAAATTAATTTGTACTATTATTTGTGCAAAAATGTTAATAATTTTCAGACACTGTGCTCTTCTAGATTAACACTTTTAGACTATTATAATATAAATAACTCATTACATCCTCATTTCTGATTGGAAGTGAATTCTTTATATAATACTATAATAATGCTATTCATAGAACTGATAATTATATCGCAACGGATTCTTATTGTGATTTAGTTCTCTTCCGATATGACCGTACATGTACATGGGAAGTGTTCGTACAGACATTGACATCTATAAGTAGGTACATATTCGAATTGAGTAGAAAATTACTCATACGATAGTCTTTAGTCTTGTTTCTGAAGTTCTTTGCTGGAGACAATAATCAATATTCACATATAGATGAATGTGAAATACTTTTTGTTTATTAAATAAGTTTTTTATTGTTGACTTACATATTTTTAATATAAAACAATGTTACATACATTGTTGTATGTACACCCTAATATGGGTGGCTAAGTGGTGTGAATAATCAAAAACCGGTCAAGTGCGAGTCCAACTCTATAACAAAGTAGGTAATTCGTGACGACATTGATTTTTTTTTTTTTTGTAGTGACAACACAAATACACAAGTGTTAGTTTTCCCGGTGACAACGAAATCGTAGTAATAATTCTTTATCTACCCAGCCGAACTCTGAGAATGATAAATGCACTTTCTATAAAAAGTCTTTTCACATCTGACATAATTTATGACTTGTGTTAGCGCAAATTTTATTCTCTCTGCCATTGTTAAAAATCGCCCTCCAGGAAGTCTAGACTGGACAATCGTAATTCCAATTTTTCATGAAATAAATCTTTTCATCCGTAAGTTTGTAAAATGTCTCTTCCTTCTCTAGTGTGAAACGAATCGATTTTGTATTTAGGAGCATAAACAGTTCTGGTGACTTGTTATTGCGTCTAGACCAAGTCTAGACTGTGATTTTATTTCAGTTTTGGTTTGCCACAGGTGCATAATTTGGATATGTGTTCTGAATGTTGATGCTGATGGAACATTCTGCGGTCTAAGTTTAATACATATGGTTTTGCATGATTCTACATTTTACATATTTATTAGGTACTAAAGTAACTCAAACGTGACGTCTTAACTTGGACATTTCTTTGAACCCGGGACTTATTGTAATTTCGATTAACATTTTATTGGAACCCGGACTTTATATCAATTACTAATAAATTTAATAGTAAACTCCCTATTGAAAACTTTAAT